TTCTGAATTTGAATTTTAGCTTTAACACATTTAATGGACTTAGTTAAACTTAAATTTTCAAATAGATTTTTTACAATTTAAAATGTATTTTGTTGATAATACCGCTTCAGAGAGAGACCTATGGAAATCACTGCTAAGAGTTTTAACTACAGACTCTTGCTATTAAATCTTTTCTTACATGCCTAAATAACTGTTAGGAATTCCACAGGAAGAGTTTTGTTAATTTCATTTGTGTTAATGTTCTATTGAATTTAGTAAAAGTGAGATAATTTAGTGAAAGATTCATTTAACATTGGTACTCTTCTGTCTTATTAGTAATATCTTTGCTTGGGCATCACTCTCATTGAAAATTGTTTCTTTGGTAGAATGTTTATGTTGTAAGCTGTTTTACAGAGGAGATAAAGATACATTTTATATTTAGTCTAAAGTCTCAATGGAGGTATATGAGAGAGAGAGAGAAAGAGAGAGAGAGAGAGAGAGAGAGACAGTGTGTGTGTGTGTGTGTGTGTGTGTGTGTGTGTGAGTGAGATAGAGAGAGAGAGAAGAGAGAGAGAGAGAGAGAATGAATCAGTAACTTCCTGCTGTTGGATCGAGTCCTTCAACAAGTGAAAGAAGTAGTAAAAAGAGCTATTGGCATGATGGCTTGAAAACTTACTTGTGCCTATTTAATATGTTAAATAGGAATAATCAGTATATCATGGATGTGAGTGTATGTATTAAATGTAGAATGACTGATTTCTTAGGAAGCGAGTTCTGGTAAGAGTGGTCAAGCCTTAGTATCACAGATTTCCCAGATACCAGAACTTAATTTATTATAGAAGCAACTGATTCACCTTCTTCTATATGTCATGTTGCCCTTCCTTTTTAACTTTTTAAGAAAGATGGTTACCTATCCTGCTGGGGACCTATCCAGAAAATATTTTTTCACTGTTTTTCCCCATTGTTCATTGAGCTGTATGCTCAAGATCTTATTCTTGTTTAACAAAATATTTTTGGTTTTGTACACATTTATAGCATTTGCATTGGGGTTGTGCTTTGAATTGTCTGGAAGAAAAATTTTATGAATTCAATATGCTGGCATTGCTAATAATATCATTATAATTTTTCTATACAACTTATTTTTAGAATAAACCTTTTAATTCAGCTAGGAAAGCAATTTACATAGATTCTGCAAAAATTTTTATCTTGGTTTTTAGTAGCTACTTTATAAATACTTGTTGAGAAAAGAATACATTTCTTCCATATACATAAAACTTTTTTGGTGACTGCCTTTTTACAAGATTGCCTTTTCACACTGTCTTTTTAAGTTTCTGGTTAAAAGTAAGTACATTTTCTCAGATGATAACCAAGGTCAAATTTGCCTGTATCAAGTGCCAATTTGAGTGTATTTTGTCCTTTGCATTGGAAAGTATTGCTATCTATCTATATAAATAATGCCATTATACAGTCAGTCATCCCTTTATAAGTGGCATTTAGGTAAATTTGATCTGTACATCCTATATGAGTTTATGAATGCATAATCCTTGCATTCCCCCTTTTAATATTTAAATATTTATATGATCATAAATACTTGTTAGGTTCCTTCTAGCCACTCCTTTTCACTTTAAGATGGAATTTGGTGCCATTTTCATACATTTTGTATATAACACAGTGTTATTTATTCTATAGGTAGTTGTTCTTTGATTGGAATATTTCTGGTCAGACTAAGCAGAGGATACTGGTGGAATAAAATTCCTAGGAGAAAACTTTCCAAGTTCTTACCTATTAGCTTTGCTGACTTTCAGTTTTAAAATCTGGTACCTGTGCCAAAATGCATTCATTCACAAACGCTTAATGATTGCCTTCATTGGAAAAGCCACATTGTGAGTTTCTTTGGAACTTAAAATGAATCTTCCTTTATTTAAAAAAAAAAAAAATTTTTTTTTTGCAGCTCACTTACCAAGTGAAAATGAATCTTGCTTTAAGTTGTTTTTAGTGTGGACTGTAAGACATACATACATTTAAAACTAATACAAAGTATAAAAAGCAGTAAAATAATATTAGTATACTACGTAGATGTGCTTATTCTCCAAGAGCTTTGTTATTCAGCGGTCTGTCAAAAGTACTACTACTTCTTATTCTTCCAAGTTTGGGAGGGCTTCTTACAATGATAAAGTAATAGGAAGATAGTCCCTGGGTAGGGAAGAGCTGGATTGTGGTCCCAGTGCCTGTAATTGGTGCTCAGTAAATGTCTGAAGAGCGAATGAATGAAAAAGTCAAGTGATGGAAGTACTGTTGCCTCTGAACACTCTACTTCAGTGGGAATACAGGCAGGTTGTGAAGAGAGGTCCCAAAACAATAGTTAATTTTCCATTGGTGTGTGAAGTAATATAAACACTGAGTGATAAAATATAGCCAAATTAAATGAAAGCTTAATCCACCTTAATCAACAGTTTGTGGTTCAAGGTGGGGTTTTTTTTCCCCCTCAGAGTGATCTGTAAGGTTCAGCTCTTTTATTATAATGTGCTTATTCTTTCAATTAGCATTTATTAAGTACATACTACATATTAAATTTAGGGGACCACAGTAGGAGCTCTGCCTACTCTAATAATATCAGTATAATATTTTGCTATAACCAAGACATTGTGCACAGCATACTGGGGGTGCAAATGAGAGGGTTTTAGTTTCTACAGACAGAAAGCTAGTGGTCTGGGCTAAGGATGATGATATAGGTACTCAATGTTATACTTTTAAAAAAATTTTAGAATAAAAAGTATAATGGAAAAAAAGTTTCTTTGTTTTACATTGTGTTATGGTCACCCTAAAGCTACTATTATTAGTTGCATGGAAGGATATAATGAACTGAGTAGGGGAAAGAGACCACAAGAGAAGGAATCCATTTTGATGGTGTGAGCAAACCAAGTTCAAGTATATGTATTTGAACATCCCCATTTGTGAGGGTGTAGACTGAAGAGTGAATTGAGATCTATTAATTTGGCATTTTAAAATTATTGCTCTGAAATAACAAAAAATAAATGCTCCCTCTTTTCAGTTATAAGTGTTGCTTAATGAGCATCTTCATAAAGGTTGATGTTCAGACACAGGAGATACAATACGTTTATTATATTGTAATCATAAACATCACCTTTGGCATGCAGGACTTACCCAAATTAAGTGTAGAAAAAATATAGATAGCTTTAAAAATAAAATTATCTGAAAAATAGTTTTGCTTCATTTTTTTCTATAAAAACTATGGTAAAATCATTTTGGCTACTTTGTTAAAATTTTTATTTTAAAATCAGCTGCTTTATTATTGTATTGGTTGCTATTTCTTCATTGAATTAAAGGCATTCTTTTTTTATGTGGTAACATAAAGAATCTTATTTATTTCTTAATTTGTCCAGGAATAATATTTATATAAGAAAAGTCTCATTTAAAAAGTGGTAAGTAACCTCAAGTCTAGGTAAATGCAGCACTTTTCAAAAGTAATTGTACCATGGAGTAAACATAGTATTTCTAGTATCGTATGACAAAAAATTAATAGTGGTCTATTTTTAGTATCCAAACGAAATTTATGTAAAGTTTTTTTGCCTCAGGTTTTATTTTTAAATGCTCTCAAATGAGTTATGTGACCTAGTAATATATCAGTTTTGCTTATTCTTGGGTAATAGATTTCTCAATGATTGTTTGAAATCTGGTATGCTTATCTATACTAACAATAATAGATTCTTCTATAGTTTACAAACTATTTCACTGTTAATGGAAGTTTTACATGTTGTGGAAATGAATTTCCTTATCATTTTACTTATTTGATCAAATTGAAAATCTTAACTATATTTTAAAACTTTTTGCCACAGCGTTTTACCAACGAGGATCATTTGGCTGTCCATAAACATAAACATGAGATGACACTGAAATTTGGTCCAGCACGTAATGACAGTGTCATTGTGGCTGGTTAGTATATGCTTTTATTAATAGCTTATATACATATTTCACCTGGAATGTGCACAACTTTTGTGTATTCTCTGTAAATAATATAGTCTGGCGATATTCCAATGACTTCATTTACAATAAATGTTGGCAACATGTATTTTACCCATTACATTTCCATGTTTCCTTCTGACCATTCATTTCACTTTTTGTGTGGTTTTCAAACATAGATTTCAATGTCAATTTTGTGGAAGTTAATTAGAATTCTGGGAACATTCATGCCATCTACAAAGTTTACATTTAACTGATAGTCGAACTAATGTGGTATTTAGTCAGTGTTTCTTTTAGCTGTCTTGCACAGCTGGTCTACAAGGCTGTGTGAAGATAGAAAATGATCAAGCTCCTCCTGTTGGAGAAAGAGCAGTTAGCAGACTTGTTCATTAGAATTTTGTTTATATTTCTTTTCAGACTAAACATTTGTGTTACTAAAATACTTTCAGTAAAGTGGGCCTAAATTCAGTCAATGCTTTTTTTGTGTATTGACCTTGTGAACTGTTGATCCTATGAACTACAGTATCACCTAAGCAGATGATGACTTTTCACAATATGTGAAAAGAGGATCCCAATTCATGCATTGGTTTATTGTCATTCCATGCTGTATTAGCTGCTCTTTTTTGGTATATAAATATATATACACACACGTCTATGTATATATCCACACACACACCATGTGTAATTTCATTACATTTATATATTTTATGAATAAATATTGTGATAAGAAAACAGTCTTATATAAAATTTTATATAAATTTCAGACCTTTTGAGTTATACTTATGCATTTGCATATTATAACTATTCATATTAACTCTAGGTTTTTCTTTTCTCTTATAAAGCTTAGGTTATTTGTAAGTCTGGAATTATAGCTGAATGCTGTTACCACTTTTAAATTATTAATTAGTATAACAATGTTTTAGATAGAAAATAAAGTAAATATTAGATGATTTTTCCCATATTTTCAGTATCAAAATTTTTGTAATGAAGAAATTGGAGGTAACAAAAAGTTGATAATTTATTCAAAAACAGTTTATGTAGGAAAAAGATAGAGGAACTTTCAGTGTATCTTCAATTCCATAAGTAAAAAGAGGCGGAAAAGAGTGAAGTATGCTATTCTTTATAATATTGTACATTAGATATTAAGAGGTAGAACCAAAAAAGGCAAACAAGCAATATAGCAACAATAACCTGAAAAGTTCACTCTCCTAGGCACGAAGTTCTTCGTTTCTCTGAAACTTACTGCCTTAGCTCAATCTCTCTTTCTTCTTAACTCAAAAATGTCTTGAAGTTGATTTCTAGAAATTACTTTTCTATTAATACATTTAATACAATAGAAAAACAGGAATTTTTTTTTTTTTTTTCCAAACGAGATAGAGTTTAAAAAAAAACTCTGCAGTGGCCCAGTCATAGCTTACTGCAGCCTCAAACTCCTGGGCTCAAGCAATCCTTCTCCCTCAGCCTCCAGGGTAGCTGGGACTACAGGTAATGCCACCATGCCCAGCTAATTTTTTCATCTTTTTATAGAGAGGGAGTCTCACTTTGTTGCCCAGGCTGGTCTCTGACTCCTGAGCTCAAGCCATCCTCTTGCCTCAGCCTCCCAAAGGCTGGGATTATAGGCATGAGCCACCACACCCAGCCCCATTTTTGAACTAAACGTTAGTTTAGATAAAAAATACAGCATTACTGCATAAATATAATGCATGATGTGTGTGGTATATATTTGATGATCCGTATGCAATCTGCATGTTAAATGATTATGCCTGTGTTGACTTTTCTCAAGTCTTACAGTTCCAGTAATTGTTGATAAAAGTGATTTCTGCTTATGCATTTTATTTTTTTAAGACTTTTCCCTCCCTTTAACATAAGAGCCTTAGCTTAGATATACAAACCCTGGGTGTGAACAGAAGAGTCAAATTTGTGTTTGACTTATTAATTCAGTCATCATGGACTTAAGCTGATACATGTACACTAGGCCTTTACTACAATATGATTTTGGAGGTCTTTTGGGGGATAGGAGTAGAGAGTAGGTTAAAGACTAACTAATAGATAAAACTATGACACTATAGAGTCCCTTCAATAATTCTGATACTACTGTTAGTACCTTAGACAGGCCTGTATTTTATCTAGTGTGTATAACATTGGGTTATTTTAGTGTTAAATATATTTATATATAGTAAAAATATTATTACTCTGGATATGCATGGGGGCAGGGGGTAAAAATAAAATAATGAGTAATGCCCATTGTGGGAACACAATAATTAACAAATATGTGAATTTTAATTTCACAAAAGATTTTATGAGTATGTAATCTTAAACCAGGAGTCATCCTTAATACTTTAATTTAGGCTAGATCTCTCATGTAACCTGTAAGATTGGTGCTCTCTACAGTATATAAAGTGTGAATAGAGTTTGAATGTGCTACCAACTCTAATAAACAAGTAGCCTTAAATTAATAAGACTAAATGGGCAAAATTTATAAATTTGCTATTTTTCATTCAGCCTGGTCCTTATCTGGCATTTGTTGTAGCCAGAACATGTACTCTCAGTACATACGTTAATGTACGTAGCATGAGTACATAGTCAGTATTTCATGTAGACTTGGCTGTTTCTCCACTGCCTAGAAATTGAGCTAGAACATTCTGCAGACATGTGACTGATACCCCTTGTACCAAGCTTGCAAAATGCATTAAAATAGAAAATTAGTTTCAGTAGCTAGTACTAAGGAGGGTTTTATTTTGTTATGGTTTGTTTTTAGGGCTCTTATTTTAACTTTTTCTTCCTTATAGTATTTTGATCTACCTGCTAAAGATTCTGTTTTATCTTAAGCTTACTTTCACAATAGGTTATGAACAACTAATGGAAGGGCCAAGTTAAAGCAAACATACATGCTCTTATCCTAGTTTTTTTTCCAAATTGCATGTATTTAAACAAATGTAGGTTTTATTATAGTAATATAAATTTTAAAACATTCTTAATACTATGTTAAATAATGGTAATAGTTTATCTCTTGAGTAGATGATGTTTATGCCATTCTACTCAGAGAGAAGGAGCGGACTAAGGAGCAAAAAGGACTTCTTTCATATTTTTATGGTTCGTAAAGTTGGAGGAGATAATCTTGAAGTACAACAAAAACTTAACCAAATTTCATTTGCTTTAAAGGAAGAGGTCTTTCCAAAGAGAGAATTAACAACTGATTGAACCAGTCCTGCTAATTTGTTAACTTAGTAGCTATATTTTAGAGTCTTAACATGATATTTAAAATCTATGTGATTACTTCTTGGTATTTATTCCAGATCAGACCCCAACACCAACAAGATTCTTGAAAAACTGTGAAGAAGTGGGTTTGTTTAATGAGTTGGCAAGTCCATTTGAGAATGAATTCAAGAAAGCTTCAGAAGACGACATTAAAAAAGTATGTTGTTAACCATGAAATTCAAAAAGAGTACTTCTGACAGAAAAGTAGCGAGAGTTCATGCTTCCTGCTTTCTTAATTTAGACATGCTGATTGACTATTTTGAATTTGTAACTTTTTCTTTATTGTTTGCATTTTAGATGCCTCTAGATTTATCCCCTCTTGCAACACCCATCATAAGAAGCAAAATTGAGGAGCCTTCTGTTGTTGAAACAACTCACCAGGATAGTCCTTTACCTCACCCAGAGTCTACTACCAGTGATGAAAAGGTTAGAAATTTGTATTTGTGGTAGAAATATAAGCTAAAGAGAAAATGTAGTACCCAAGTAAAGTTTAATATTTAATCTCCATAAAATGTTAATGTATTAAATTTTACATAATTCAGTGTCAGCTTACAATAGTTTTTCTGTGTGAAAAACCTGTGAATGCTCAAATATTTCAGATAAAGAAGACTATACCTTTATAGATAATTATCTTTTTACTATACACAGAAAAATACATAGGGGAGAATAGCAGTCATTTTAGATAAAACTGTTACTTAAAAAAGGATATGTAAACTTATAAATTTAACTTAATTTTTCTAGGTTTTGCTATCTTGTATTTAGCTACTTTTATACAGTAAAGGCGTAAGAATCTATACTAGAAATTGTTTGAACAATAATTATTTAGATTTTTAAAGGGTTATGGGACAAGTTAGTTATTCTTAGCAATGGATCTTTGGTAGCAGCAATTAAGATGATGATACTACCAGGCACAGTGGTGAGTACCTATAGTCCCAGCTACTCAGGAAGCTGAAGTAGGAGGTTCACCTTGAGCCCAGGAGTTTGAGTCCAGCCTGGGCAACATAGCTAGACCCTGTCTCTTAAAAAAAAAAAAAAAAAAGATGATGATTCTGTCTTGAATACCATGATAATCTGAGACCACCTGGGCTGTAGTTGTGTATTGAGTAACATTTTTGTTTATAAGCACAGAAAGTGAACACATTTATTGGGGAGCACCATGTGAGACACAATGAAGAGACATTGGGACATATAAAGAGGCAATGGCAATGTTCTCTTTTAGATTATGTTATTCTAAAACCATAATAACTTATTAATGGACTCCTGCCATGGCAGAGAAGCTAGAAATAAGGAAATACAGAAAAAGTAACTTTTTACCTAATAATACATGTTTTGATCTTAGGTTTGTTTTTTGTTTTTTTCATTTTCTTTTCCATATATTAAAAGTACATTCTCATTATTCTTCTGTAAGAATACAGAAAAAATGCAAAGAAGAAAATCAAAATCACCTATTAGCCCATATTGAATTTGAAGAATTACTAGTATTTTGAAATTTTTTTCTAGATATCTACATTTCTACATACAAATATGTGTGAATAGTTACATAGAAAGGATAGATGGATGCAAAGAAAGATCCTAGCTTACTTTTATATTGTGCTTTAGGCAGCAATAATTAACATTTTCCAATGTCATTAGAGATTTTGCCAAATCATAATTTTTAATGGTTATAATTATTTAATCATTATCTTAATGTATTTAATTATCCTGCTCTTTTTGGACATAAAGGTTGTTTCCACATTATCACAGTTACTAGAAATGTTGTTAAATCTTTAATATAAACCTTTTTCCTAGAGAACATTCTAGTCCTTTCATACTTTCAAGTTTTTCACTGTTCATGGCTGCTTTAGCATCTTTTAGGAATATTCCTTCTTCCTGCATTCCTCAATTGTTACCTTCTCTTGGGCAGGGTGTAGCCATGCCAAGTCGTAAAAAAAAAACAAAAATCATTTCTAGGCCTCCTTTGCTTTCTTAATTTTCTTTCTAGGTGATCTCATCCAGACTCATAACTTTAAAAACCATCTACATACTAATGACTCTCAAATTTATATTGACCCAGGTATCTCTCTATATTGCCATGTTCATGTCCAACTCCATCTTGATATTTCCTTTTCTGTGTCTAATAAACATTTTTTTTTTTTTTGAGTCAGGGTTTTACTCTGTCACCCAGGCTGGAATGCAGTGGTGCAATCATAGGTCACTGTAACCTTGAACTCCTGGGCTCAAGCAAAATGATCCTCCTGCATCAACCTCCTGAGTAGCTAGGACTATAGGTGTGTGCCACCATGTCTGGCTTTGTTTGTTTTTAGAGATGGGGTCTTGCTGTATTGTCCAGACTGGTCTTGAATTCCTGGTCTCAAGCGATCTTCCTACCTCAATCTCCCAAAGTACTGGGATTATAGGCATGAGCCTCCATGCCCAACCTAACATACATCTTAAACTCAGTATGTCTAAATCAGAACCGTTGATTCTTTCCCCAGTTTTTCCCATCTCAGCAAATTTTCTCCATCTAGTTACTCAAGCCAAGAATTCAGGGATCATCATTAATTCCTTCTTTCCTTCACACTGAAACCAACAGCAGATCTTATCAGATCTACTTCCAGAATATATCCTAAATCTTTTTTTTCTTTTTTTTTGAGACAGAATCTCACTGTGTTGCCCGGGCGACATGAGTGCCGTGGCGTCAGCCTAGCTCACAGCAACCTCA